CCTAGTGTAAATAATTCCATAATCTAACACACAAACAGATCTACTGATGTCATTAGTACTGCTTGCCTTAAAATTTATAAATTTTAGGCTTCTTGAAAGATCAGTTTAGATAGAAATCTCTTTAGGGCAAGAAGAACATTTAACTTGAGTCATGGCTAGTATCAGACATTTGAATTTAACAAAGAAAATGATAATATATTGTGGTGTGTAATAAGGTGTGAAGTAAAATGAAGGCCTGATACTTACCTGCATGAAGAATTTATACATCTGTGAACAAACTGAAGTTCTAGAAGGAAAATGCTGAAAGGGCATGTGTGGTCATGTTTTGTTTAGGATTTTTTTATTTTTTTTGGATGTCATAGAAAGAAACTTAACGTGGTGATGTAACTTCATTAAATTTCTGCTTACAGTCTGGTCAGTCAGTCATCCTTTTTCTCCTCAGAATATCACTCCAACAGGACGAGTAAATGCTCGTGTAGTATTTGTTCATAAAATTGGAATACTTTTAATCGTCACTAGAAGAACGTAACTGGCATGGCACGTCACTTCATTAGCTAGAGCAAAAATCGGTTTGTTGGGATTTTTGTGTGTATGGAAACAGTCTCTTCCCTGCTGGTGGGGGGCGGTACAATTCTCAGAAGAAATCATGTCATTCCACACTAAAAAAAAGTCATACGGTACTCAAACATGACAGAATATCCTCTTCTGTTGCTGCTAGTGGTCTTAGTTCCCTGCGTTCAGCATCTACTTCACTGGTACAAAACTTCAGTGTAACAGGAACTCCTCATTCTCCTGTTCCTACAGAAGGAATGGGATCCACGTGCATTTGGGAGGCTTTGGAAGAAGAGCCTATGGTTGGGAATCCTTTGTTTCTTTCTCACAAATACAACTAGGATTTTCTGCATGCCACAGTTCTACTCTTTGCATTTTGTATTTCACTTTTTTGTAGCATCCTATATTTGGAGAATAGAGTGCACAAAGAATAACAAATGATTTCTTTTTCCTTAGAACCAGATAGATGGCTTCATGTTTAGCAAGGATTTTGATGAGGATGGGATAGAGAGGGAAGTTCTACCTGATTCAAAAGGGCTTTTGGGATCACCAGGAATGAAAGGAAAAGAGGGGGAAAAAATGTCATCTATTAGGGGTTAGATTTGGGCCTTGTATTTCTGTTTTTTGACGTGTTTTTTTCCTCTTGCTATTTTCAGGAGTTATATCCTGCGTTTTGTATTCACAATGGAGGATCTGATCTAGACCGGCTACCGACTGCCAGTACCTGCATGAACTTGCTGAAGCTTCCTGAGTTTTACGATGAAAATCTGATGCGAAGCAAGCTCCTCTATGCCATTGAATGTGCTGCTGGATTTGAACTAAGCTGAGTCAAACTGATGCTTACTTGGATGGTCTGCAGAGGAACGAACCAGTGCCTACTCGATAAGCAGCACCCATACCCAAGCAGTTTTAAGGGAATTCTGTCCGAATTTCTGCAGCTCTTATGTCTTATCAAATGCCCTCAAATAGGTTTCATTTTTAAACACAGTTTGTTAGTTAGCTTTCATTAATATTACATTGACACTGCTTTATGATTCAAAATACTGAATGCTGTTTGCAGTGTGGTTGTTCTGTGTTTATGTGAAGAAGGAGCACGTTGAAGAAACAGTGACATCTCAGTGAAATTAACCAAAGATGAAGCTTTGGCTTTGTGCTGTTCAAGTATAAATAATTTCCCAAACTGGCAATAAAGTTGTGTACCGTGCAGCACATTGGGATGAGACAGGGCTAACATCCTGTAATTAATCTTTCAGATGAAAGCAAAGCAGATGTTTGCAGATAGCCCACAACTGAGAGGATAAAAATGCTCATTACTGGTAACCTAACATCTTGACTTGCATTATAGAATTGTTTACAAACCAGAGTTGTTGCAATTAAGGTATGACTGATTTTGTTCCATACTACCTTCCCTCGAGATGGTAGGCACTGAGATAAACGCTTAGGATATTTTTTGTGCTTTCCGGAGAAATCAGATGCACAGGCTTATTTTATTTTAAGTTCAACCTTTGGCTGCATCATTATCGCTTGAACACTGTCGTAAATGGATCTGACTATCCATGTTTTGTCTGCTCCATTTCTGTCTTTTGTGCCTGTACAGATTTTTTTTTAATGTATCGGACTCCTGTTGCATAGATAGCACATGCAAAAGTCATCACTTTGGAACATGTAACAGCGATTAAAATTATTTGAACCAAAGTTATCAGGCTTTATCTTTTATATTTGAAGCCTGTGGTATTCACATTCCTTTTCCCTATCATTTCTTTCCATCCTAAATGCCATACCTGTGTTGTAGACACTAGTCAAATTCATAATTTTTTGTGATTAAACAGCTTTTATATCCACCTGCCTGCAGAATTTCTGCTAAGACAAGTAGGTGGGAATATGCTGCTTAATGGAATTGGACGATTGGATATCTGGGGAAAAAAGTGGTTTCGTATGGAAGGAAATGATCCCCTAGTGGTAGGCACATCGCTGGGTATTCATGCACAAACTGCAGTCAATTCAAATATGGGATTATAATTCAGACTGTAAGGTTCATAACGGCATCCCTCTGAACTTTAGTTTTATATTTTAAATCACCAACATTTACAATCAGATTTGTATTCATCACTTATGCAAAAAAAAAAAAAAAGTGCTGTTACTGAAAACTGTTGGATTTCATATTTAAGAAGCAGTAACCAGCAATATCCTTTAAATGTGGGGAAACGGAGTGATTTTAAGATGTTTACTAGTAACCATATAAATGTATAATTTCTTAATTTGGGTAATAAATGAAGTGTTAAAATGCTATTTGTAGTCTTGATGTACAGAAATAAAATGATTGGTTTTCTTTTTGGTTTTGCTTTAGGCTTTTTATTTATGTTAAATATTACATACCCAACCTATTCTTTATCCCCAAATTCTTTTCTTGTATATTTTTCTACATAAATTATGGAACTTGTAAAGAGGTTGAAAATGAGACCAGTAATAGTGGAACTGCCTCCTCTTAATTAGGAAATCTGGAATCTTCTCTTAGAAAGCATTATTTATTTTATAACCTAATGGTTTAAATATTTTGAAATTATTTTTCAATTTCATTCTTTGCTATATTGGTAGTGTTGTATTTGTATTTTGTATAATTAAATTAAAATTTATTAAATACTCATATTCAGAGATTGTTCTGGGGCCAAGCCACGTATGCATGACTGGTAAGGTATGCTTTCTGCTTTTGTAAAGGAGACAGTGCACACTATTCCTGTCTGTCACTGTGAATACAAGCTCCAGACAGAGGGTAGGCTGGAGGAAGAGTGGTTTGCAGGTAGCAGTAGTCATCTATTTGCAAGAATCGCACACACAGTGGAAGAAAACTTCATTAGAGAACTTGAGTTCACTGAAAATACTGTTTATTTCTTCAGAAACTGGTACTCATTGATCTTGTTTTGTATATTCTGTACATTAAGTACGAAATTCTGACATAGGTCAGTGGAGCTGTAGCCTGGAGATTTCATTCTGCATTTAGTCAGTTGGAAATCTGTGCTGCGACAACTTATAATATCACTTCCAGTATTCAGACTGCAAGAAGAGGGTAGGACTTTCCTTTGGCAACAAGTGTTCTCCATTCTGCCTGTCAGCTGTTTTTGCATTGTCAGGGTGAAGTATGGGCCCCTGCTTTCCAGTGATTTATTGCTGGATATTTTAATAAGGAGCAAGAGTATGAGAAATAATAGAGGTGTAGATGGTCGTGTCCTGAGGAGCTAAGTGGTCTAAACGATCTCTCATAGCTCTCACAGAGGAAGAATTGTTTATATGTGGAAACTCATTTTCTGTTTTTTAAAAACAAGAGCAAACTCCTTCCTGGTTGTGATGCTCACAGAGTTTAGGTGGGCAGAGACAGGAAGCACTTTGCGTGCAACTAACCTGAAACATCGCTGATCATCAGAATTATGGCAGTACTCAGTATTGGTCTTGGAGTTACTTCCTGTGCAAGACAACCCTTCCTTATGGGCAATTTCCATACTTAACTGCTTTGTCCTCCTAGATCAGTACTCTTTGAAAAAAGGCAGCATTTTCTGTTTGGTTTTTCAAAGAAAAGGAAATTTGCAAACTTAAACTTTTTGTTCTCAAGGTTTATCTTTATAATGGAAGAGTACACGTCCTTCGTCTCTCCACAGTTAAAAGGCATAGAAGAGGAATAAAAGAATGGAAAAGTTTAGCATTTGGTTTATTTATCTCATCAAGAATTTTTCTGGATGCTCATTTAGTCCTGCTAGCTGGATATTAAAACCAAAACAAAAACACAGGAATAGTTTGCCTTGTTAGTTAATCCCCTTTTCCATCGTGGCCCTAGGAGCCATGCCTGTATACATTTCACAAAACTTGCTTTTTATTTCTAGGGAGAACTTACATCAACAAAAGAGAGATTTGGCTGTAGCTTCCTGAGTGAACACTGAGGTGGGAAAAGGTTGAGTTGAACAAGAATATCTTCAGTTCATTTTTGTGGGGGGTGCTCCATAATTAATATAAAATGAGCTTCCTGATGCTATTAGTAGTAGCGTTTGACATCACTTGAGTAATCTAGCAGAAACATCCTACTTTGATCTACAAAGGAGATTGGAATTCAATAAAACAAAACCAACAACTTTAAGCAGTGCAGCGAGCTCATGCTAAATTTGAGTTAAAACCAAAAGCTATTTGTTAAATGCCAATGAGACAGCACAGACTCTTTCTGCCACTGAAAACAGTACAGCACAGAAGCAAAGGAAGAAAAGAGAGCTGTTTTTCTTGGATTGTTTTGTTGGATCTGTAAATTTTTTTTGTATTTATAATTATATGCAAAAAATTAAAACCTTTGCTCATATACATGAATCTGTGTTAATAATGGTTTGTGATGTAAATGCTTGTTACTATTTTTTTCCACGTTGCTTTGCCTGTCAGTAAAGGAGAGAAGAAATGAACATGGTCTGTAAAACTGATCAGGATATCTATATTTTTATTGACTTATGCTTTTGTGAATAAAATAATTTGAGTTTTCTTGAAACTTTGCAGAAATGCTCTTTTCTTTCATTTTGCAGTAAATTTGGTGTTCTGTGGCTGAAGCTTGGTAGTATTGAACCGGTTTTAAAAGGGAAGCTAATGTAAACTCTTCAGTGGTCTTGAAGCTAACACTGCTATGTGACAAGTTGTAGCTTCAGTTTTCGAGCTCTGAAGTTCCCACTCCGTCCAGCTGGAGCTACAAGGTCTAGCTTTGGTTCATAGCATCTTTCAAACAAGGTACTGAAGAACATTGACACGCTCTGAAATCCTTCTTTAGAACATTTGGGAAGAACAAAACTTGTTCCATGGTTGAAAACAAGAGAAGCTGTAATTCAGTGATGAATTGTACTCTGTCAGCAAGTGTGTATGAAAACATTTCTTGTAGAATCCTCTGGAATTTCTTTTGCAGCACATACGTGATACCCTCTGAAGATGTAATTTCTTTTTTTCTTTGATAATTAGGATTATTTTCCTTTGCTTTTCTAGTTTTCTCATTGCTAAATACACCTCTAGTTCCATAATTGTGCTTAAGAAGTTAGTGTTGTGCATGTTTATCTTGGAATACTTTGAAACAGCATCACATATTCTTCAGCTTACCTGGTACTGAAAGTTTGATCAACAGAAAATGATTTAAAAAATCACCTTGTAGGCCACTTCATCATTTAGGTAAAAGAATTAATAAAACACAACTGCCCAGATTCCTTGCCTGTTTTTCTGTATGTGTCTGTCAGTCTTGAAAGCCAATACAACTTCTGATGTGTGTTGAGAAACAGCACAAGGCGAAGAGTGGTTGTGAAGTTCCACCAATTGAACACATTCCAGAGAACGCAGAATGGCTGAGGTTGGCAGGAGTGTCTGGGAATCGCCTCTTCTGCCCCCTGCTCACAGCAGGGTCACCTGGAGCGGGTTGCTCAGGGCCTTGCCTTGTCAGGTTTTGAGTATCTCCATGGGTGGAGACTCCATGACTCTGGGCAACCTGTTCCAGTGGTCAGTCACCTTCACAATGAAATGTTTTCAGCTAGGTTTAAACATGATTTCCTGTATTTCAGCATGTGCCCATTGCCTTTAGTTACAGAACTGTAGGGTGGTTGAGGTTGAAAGGGGATCTCTGGAGGTCATCTGGTCCAACCCTCCTGTTCAAGCTGGACCACCTCAAACAAGTTGCCCAGGACCATGTCCAGGCACCTCTTTTAAGTGCTCTGTTCTGCCACTGTGCACTGCCAAGAGTCTAAGCCCTCTCCAGGCTGGATGACCCCAGCTCTCAGCCTCTCCTCATACTACAGATGCTCCAAAACCTTAGTCATCTCTGTGACCCTGCACTGGAGTCATTCCAGTATGTCCATTTCTCTCCCGTACTGGATGACCCAGAACTGGACCCAGCACTCCAATGTACCTCGGCAGTGCTGAGCAAAAAGGGAGCAGCATCTCCCTGGACCTGCTGGCAATAATCCACATTGTGCAGCCCAGGATGCTGTTGGCATTCTTTGCTGTACAGGTGTCCTGCTGGCTCGTATTCATCTTGCCTACCAGGAACCCCAGGTCATTTTCTTTCTGCTGCTTCTCAGTCAGTTGGCCCCCAGGCTGTAACGATGCATGGGTTTACTCCTTGCCAGGCACAGGACTTTGGACAGAATTGGATGAGTACTGAAGTCTCAAGGTATTTCTTCGTTTCAAAGCTCTCTTCTTTACTGGGCTGTAAAAGACATGACCTTCCATTTTTGCCATGTTGCATCAGGATTGTTTTGCAAATGAAGCTCTCAGCTCAGCCTTACTCTGCGTCACAGTCAGGGCCAGTGATTCAGCTATGCGTTTTGCAAGAGGTGTGGATTTTGAAATACAGGTAGTTCTGTCATGTCTTTAGAGTAAAGAATACAAGTAGTGAGTTTCCATAAGAAAAAAATAGAAAACATTCAACTCTGTGTGGACAAAGCTTTGCTACCTCACAACAGGAAGCTTGGTAAGACCCAACTAAAGAATTCACAGAACCTAAAATAGTTTCTACGTGTTTTATTTATTTATTTATATATTTCCTGTATTTCGTTCAGTTATCAAGTATGATCTTTGTTTTGTGCAGATCATAGCCAGAATCTGCTGCCTACAGTGAAATTTGATGTGCCTTGTAAGCATATCCTACAATACAGGCGGATGATGACTATTATAGCATGATAGGGAAAATACTGGTAATAAAATACATGTATGTACAGGTATGCAGAGAAAAATGTGCAAGTCTGTTTCTAGACAGCACAAAAGCTCTTAGGAATTTAATTTTAATTTGGTAAAAGTACATTTTGAAGATATTCTGACAATAAAGTAATTTGACTTAGGTATTTGCAGACTCAAAATGAAGTTGTTTTTCTTTTTTTTTCTTTTTTTTTTTTTTTCTCTTGGGTGCTGACTTGTAGTGTTATTTTACCTTTGACTCCTATTGGATGTAACCTCATGCAAAATTCATTTCTCTCTGACTTGTTCAGTGAACAGAATAGCATCTTCAAAATACTTTTTGTGGACTCTTCCAGACTTATGTGACTGGAGATGAGGCAAACGCTACTTCTCTTCCTTGCCTGTAGATGTCTGTAGTTGTTAAAAGATTACACTTATCCTGCAAGGCTGGATTTAAGATTTTTGTGGCTTTGCTTTTTCATTTCTAGTGTTGCTTTGTCTTTTCAATCATTTTGGAAATCTTTTATTAACTGCAAAGTAACAGAGATTCAGTAAAAAATGGAGGTCTGTTGTTTTCACAGTTTTATAGATATGATGCTAAACAACAGTAGAGAACTGTAGGACTAACGTTAAATCACCTAAATGCTTATTCACTTCTTCCTCCACCAACGCTATCAAACATCTAGTTTGAAGCTGCAATTTCCTGGACAGACTTCTGTAATTTTGCTGACCTCAACAAAAGTTGGCAGCGCAATTCTAGGTGCAACCCAGCAAAGCGTGTCGGGCAGTCAACAGCAGAAATGTGGGAGTTCTCACTGGCACCAATGAGATTGTTTAAGCATAACACGTAGAGATATCCTGCTGGCTTCATTTCATGCTGCCAAGGGATGAACTTTTCTTGTGCAATGGTTAAATCATTGCTGCTCGTCATTGCCAGAATTGTTGCTCTCCAGTCTGGGACTAAGTTTACCTGCTCCGCATTCTGTTTGCAGGATTTGTTAATGTATTCATAGAAACAGTTTGCTCAAATATCCTGCTATTTTCAAGATTATTCTTTTCCGCATTCCCAGAGCAACTGTTAGTAACATTTGTGTAAAGTTTGACTGGAAAGAGGTGTTGCATTATTTCTATCTTACCCTGTGTTTATAGTTACACATAGCTCTCGGCTGCTGAAGAAGGAAACAGGCATCGCCAGATGGTGTTATTGCAGATCATCTTGCTACTTCTGCCTACCCAAATGTTACATCTAGGAAAAACATCTCTCATCAGCTGCTATGTAGTTTTGCTGTATGTTGTCAAACACACCTTCTGAAGAAATGAATTCCGTCTAGCCTTCATATCTTTAATTAAGAATATATATTTTTTTCATTACTGCTGTAATGTTTTTCTTTTTCTCCTCTCTGCTTTCAGACAAACAGAACTTTCAAAGTTCTGTACAGATGTTTGAGACCTCCTTATCTATTAGATCTATCCAGCTATTGGTGAAAAATGACATGCTATTAACTAATATTTGTCTTCGTTATATGGATAAGAAAACATATCCCTGATCAAATGAATGAACAGAAACGCTGATCGAGCTCTCCTTGTAAGGAATAAACACTTGCCATAAGCTTTGAGATCCTCTGGCTGCCCACAGCTGTTCTTAGATTGTTGTCTGTGCATCCCAAATAATCACTAGAATGCATCTGATACTTTATGAGGAATTGGGAGAAACTTCAGCTACCCTGAAGTGTTTCAAGCTCTTATCAAAAGCATCCACTCTGCTCAGGCTTTTGGTTACAAAGAGGAGCGCAGATAAACTTGTAACCTCTTGATTACCTAGCTCCATACTGATGAAAACGGAGGTTGTGCTCAGCAGAAAAACTCTGGAGAATTCTAATGAAAATTGGTTATTTTGTGCTTTTAATGCTCCTACTTAAAGTTTTAAACATTAGGTGTATTGCCCATATTTCAAGTCTAATTGTTTCTGATAAGCTATCAGCAAAAAGTTAATGCTTATATTTAATTAAGTGGCACTTTCCAGAATTACTTTGCCAGTACTACTATAATTAAATGATGTGAGAACAGTCCTTGATAAATACACTCATATTCTTTGCTAACACCAAAAATAGATTCTGTAAATCTGTAAATAGAAAAACTGGATGCATTAAGCAGCAGATGAGAGCAGCAGGCCAGGAAGACTGCAGCCATTACCACATGAAAGAAACTAATATTAATCTCGCTCTAATGCAGCATTTTCAAGCATTTCTTGTGTTCTGATGGGCTTTTCATAATTGACCTCCATAAGTCATAAAAAATGATTAAAAAAAAGAATCTGGGAACTCTGCGAATTGCTAATACCTCCTGGAATGAGGCCACATAATTTCCATCATTAGGTTATAGCTACCAGTTAGGCCTGAATTCATCTCACTTACCTCCAGCCGTCTGTAAGGTGGCTGTCTGGGCACTTCCAAGGAGGGAGGCAACCCAGATCCAGAGCTCTGGGTTCTTTCTTTACTAAGACACCCTGGAGGTGCCCCCTCCTTCTCCCTTTCTTGAAGTCTAAAGGGCTTAAAGTGGATGCTTGACTACTGGCAGCTCAAGTTACATGAAAGTGAAAGCTGATCTTTGCCTCTTGTTCCCAGGTGAGAGAGGAAAATCCTTGAGCAGTGAGGATCCTTTGGTACCAGTTTATTCTTGTGGGAATAGAAATGTTGTTTTTGCAGAGTTACATTGTTTAGAAGGAGGGAATGTGGTACTGAGATATGCTTACAGTGATAAGAAAGTTTAGCAGGCGACCTAGTGAAATGCAGACAACCAGACTCCTTAGGACAATTAGGTGAAAATCACGGTGTCAAGTCAAGTCAGATAAGTGAAGAAACATTACCACTTCAAGCAGTAAAAATGTCAAAAGAAATTTGAAATTTAACAGGCCGGCAACTGAAGGCCATGCATTGTGTGTGAAGCATCAGATAGATTGTGAACCTGGATTACCCACTCAGTGGGGAAACAGGGGAGGGTCCTGCCATCAAAAGGTATATAAACTGTGTTTTGGAACTAGTAGATGCGCTCTCTCCTGCTTGTGGGGCGCCCGCCATTGCAATCGCGAATAAATTACTACTTCACTGAGATCCTCGCCTGAGCCTAAGTTATTGGCTACGGAGTGTTTCTCACAATTTGGGGGCTCGTCCGGGATCCAGTCACCTACTGGGGAGCCCCACCGCCGCAGCAGCAGGAAGGCATGCCCCGCTGATTTCAGCGGTCCTGTGCATCGACGGTGGCGGTTCTGCGGAAAGCTGACAGAGGGCCCGAGACTGGTTAAAGAGGCAGGATCCGTGAAGTAGTGGGGAAAGGAAGAAGGTAGGCACTCCGGGTTTTTAAGAATCGATCCGGTAACTCTGTGCACAGACCAAGGTAAGAAATATTAAGTATTGCCTTGGGGGTCGGGTATCTGGTGTATGGTAAGCCCTTGCACGGGGAAGTGCTGGCACTACACCAGGGGAATCTGGTGTACGGTAATCCTTGCACGGGGAAGTGCTTGGAAGTACACCAGGGAATCTGGTAAACTCAGGTGTGCGGTAACGCTGGCACGGGGAAGTGCTTGGCGGTACACCCCCATCTTTCAGTACGTTAGTGTGTGGTAAACTGCAGAAGGGAAATTTCTGTAGCACATACTGGCGAGGGTTAGGAAAGATGGGAAGTACGAGTTCCAGGGAATCTGGTAAACTCATAGGTGTGCGGTAACGCTTGCACGGGGAAGTGCTTGGCGGTACACCCCCATTTTTCAGTACGTTGGTGTGTGGTACACTGCAGAAGGGAAATTTCTGTAGCACATACTGGCGAGGGTTAGGAAAAATGGGAAAATATGAGTTCCAGGGGACAGGGAGATATCCCTGGGGGAGTGCCTACTAATAGTTCTTCCTGAAGAATGATAAGAAATTGGAAACATAATCCCAAAATTAGAGGGATTGTAAAAGAAAAATAATTTTAAAAAAGGTTAAATATTGTGTATCAGTCTGGACAAAAGAACCAATTAAGGAAACAGCAGTATTTTGGCCAAAATACGGGTCTGATGAAAATTCAGGCTTTAAATTTATGTGTAAACAAGAAGATTCCTTTTTTTAGAGAAGGAGCCAAGTTATGCTCCCTATAATCTTAATATTGAACTGGTGACAGCAGCAGTCACTCCAGGAAGGGAGACAGGGGCTGTAATTAACACTGTCCCTAAAGAAGGATCGTACTCTAGGTTCTGGCAAGAATTAGAACAAGGTAGAAGAGATATTGAGAATTTTGCCTTCCCTGATACTAACAGTACTAACAATAACTGTGTATCCTCTTAGGTGAACTACCCCCCCCTCCTTACCAGCAGAGAGGTTAGGACTTTTAAGAAGGAGAGGAAGTCTTTATTTGAGGACCCCAACAGCCTAGTTGAACAATTAGACCAGTTCCTACGACCTGATTTATACTCTTGGGGGAGGGAATTATGTCTATAAGTATGTTGTTTACAGGGAAAGAAATGGGAATGATCAGGAGGAGAGCTGCTATACAAGAATGGGAAAGAGCTCATCCTCCAGGACCAGGGGTAATACCGGCAGGGCAGAAATACCCACTTGCCAATCCTGGCTGGAATAATAATAGTGTGCAACACAGAAATCATATGAGAGACTTGGGGTCAGAATGAGAAAGTACTTGGGGATGAGACCTGAGGACCCAGTATCCCAAGGGCTCTTGAAAGTTCATTGTGTGATTAAAGCCTGGCAAAATATGCAGAAAATGCTTCAGAAGGTGGGGGGATGAAGTGAACTCCTGCGGGAGGCCCTGGAGGTGTGTGTCCGGAGGGGAGATAAGAAGGAAAAAAAAAAAAAAAAAAAAAAAAAAGAAGGAGAGCGAAACAATGGTATTGACAGTGCAGCGGGTAGTGAGACAGAGGGTTGGAGAAAGAGGAAGAAAATCTTCAGGGGGAGTCAGGGCCAGGATGGGAAGGAGAGGAAGAGAGATGAAGGAATGGCAGGCAAAGAAGGCTGCCTGTGTTGTGGCCTGAGTCCTAGCAGAGACAGGCTTTGATAAGATGTTTTAAGTGTGGCCAGGCTGGCCACTTCGAATAGGAATATCCGGAGTGGAAGAAGGAGGAAAGAAGGAAAATAGGATGAAATATGCTATATTGGTATGTTGTTTATCTTGGAGGGAAAAGGTATGGAATTAAGTTGGACCCTGACTGAGCCTTTGGTGCTGGTATTAGAAAAGTACAGGCTGGAGAAAGATAAAGGAAGTGTTAAAAGTGTTGCTGAAGGTGTTAAAGGTGTGGCATGTAGTATTTAACACAGCTGTTTGAAATTGAATGAGCAGGGAAAGGTGATGTAGGCATTATCTAAGTAACAGTCTAGAAGTTTTGGTATATTTGCATATTTGCTGTGGTGTTTGTTCAGTTTCCCAAGCATCAGGGAGGGGGGAACAGCCTGCTCCATCAGGGGCCTCTCCAGCAGGGGGGCTTCGGCTCCAGCGCCTGGAGCGCCTCCTCCCCCTCCTTCTGCACTGACTTTGGTGTCTGCGGGGGGGGGGGGGGGGGGGGGGAGTTCTCGCTCTCCCAACTGCTGTTGAGCAGCAGGTTTTTGTTTGTTTCTTTGTTTGTTTTCGTGGCTGTGCTCTCACAGAGGCAGGAGGGACTGTGTTGCTCATGGCTTGGCTCTGGGCAGCAGTGGGCCCCTTTGGGGCCAGATGAAATTGTCCCTTATCTACCACGGGGAAGTTTCTGGGGCTGTCACTGCAGTTTCCCACCCCCACACCCCTCACACCCCCCGAACCTTGCCATCAAACCCAATACACTGGGGAACAGCTAAGTCATTACTGACTTCTAAAGTATCAGGGATTAAATTAACTAATGAAACCCTAAATGTGATGGGGGTAGAAGGGACTGGGATAACAGTGCCACTTTTGGGGAATACCAAGCTGAGACCAGGGGATAAAATGATCACTGGGCAATTATTGTATGTATCCAAGGCGGAGACTAACTTGTTGGGAAGGGATTTGATGATTAAATTGGGCATTCAAATAGTAAATTGTTAGACTGGAATAACAGTGTTATGAATGGAGTGCTCTCTGGCCCTGAGAGCAAACATACATGTATATTCACCTCTGACTGGAAAGACCCTGAAATGGGGGCGGAAGCAACAATATAGGTGGACAATTTTACCTCAGGGGTTTACAGGGCCACCTATCTATTTGGGTAAATTCTAAAAAAGATTTTGGAGCAATTACAACCTCCCAAGGAGATATTAATGTTACAAATATGTGGATCATTTTCTATTGTCAGGACAGGAGAAAAGAGTTGTGAAGAAAGCTACTAACAAGCTATTCAACTTTCTGGGAAAGCAGGGCTTGGGAGTATTGAAAAATAAATTACAATATGGAGAAAGAGAAGTCAGGTATTTAAGGCATTTAATGTCTGAAGGAAAACAGAATAAATACAGAGAGGATTCAGGGAATTGTTGAAAATTAAGAAAGAACTAAAAAGTTTTAAAAGAAAGATTTTTTTAAGGAATCAGGAGCTATGAAGTCTGAAGGAAAATGGATACTCCTTGATGGGAGAGAAATGCTGAATAAAGGGATAATGAGGCAAATATTAACTGTTTTACATCAGAAGAGTCATTGGGAGGTGCAAGCAACATGTGATGTTGTGCTAAAATGTATGTCTGTATAGGAATATACACTTTAGCGAAGCACATATGCAGAGGATGTACTATATGTCAAAAGGTAAATAAAAAGGTCTTCTGTAACCCATCTAGAGGGGGACGGGAGCCAGGGATTTGACCTTTCCAAAGTATACAGGTAGATTTTACTGAGTTACTTGTTTGTCCTAATTGACCACATGTCTGGATGGGTGTAAAGCTTTACTGCAAGGGTTAAAGCAGGCCTTAGCGATTGAGTGGGATTTTCACAGCCCCTGGCACCCCTCCTCTTCTGGGAAGGTGGAGCTAATGAATCAGACATTAAAGAAGCAATTAACTAAACTAGTGTTAGAAACCCAGCTTCCTTCGGTAAAATGCTTACTCCTACAGGTTTAAACAGCACCAAGAAAGGATATAGGAATTTCACCATATGAGATGCTGTTCAGATTGCCCTATTTGGGCAGAAGGGATGAGATACCACAATTCAAAACAAGAGAGTTTTCTTAAGAACTGTATTCTGGGGTTGTTCTGTTCTTTGTCATTTCTCAGGACCTGTGGGTTGTGGACTCAAACCCCACCTTTGGAATTTCCCATTCACCACCATCACCCAGGAAACCGGGTCCTGGTTTGGACCTGGAAAGAGTCAACTCCGGCCTGAATGGGAAGGACAATTACTAACCACTGAAACAGCCGTAAGAACTGCGGAAAAAGGTTGGACTCACTATACTCAAGTGAAGACATCCGTCGACGCTAGTACCTGGGATGCTGTTCCTACAAAAGACTTGTTGGAAGTTGAAACTGAAGAGAAAAATCTCATAGTGGACTCTGAGCAGGATAAGAGCTTACAATTGTAAACTAACCTTTTATTTTCACAGGTAACTAACGACTGTGACTTGTGATTGAGAGAAAGAACAGATCTATAGCGAATTGCAGTGCTCCCAAGGGGGGGTTGTTATAGTAGTAGTGTACATCTTTTTTTTTTTTTTTTTTTGTATCGATAATTATTT